GATACATCTCATTTCGGACCGACGTGCTGCTCAAGTTGTGTTCCGGCGGTCGGATCGAGTCCGATTTTCCCCACGAATCCCTGTGGCGTTGACTGAGTATCTTGGATTTTCTGCAATGCCGGGCTCGTCCAGTCAAAAGCGACGCTTGGCCAACAACGCGTATCAAGCCAACGCTTCAAAGCGCGGGACTGTACCAAGGTCTCAGGTAAGACTGGTTCACACCCGATAACCCGTGCGTATGGCACAGCCCTCAGGCGAGCGATGGTGACCAAGCAGCAAGCTACAGCTGTCCTGTTACTGCTAGTACTAGTAGTAGTACTAGTAGATCTACTCGTATAGGAGGTATCTAATCCTAAAACTTGAAGGCTATAAATTAGTCTAATACAGAGTTCATTCACAAAGCCATGGTTTGGTAAATCTCCCATATCGCCTTATAAGTTATATTCATTACACGAACGCAAAATGTGTACGCACGGCCCAGCTTATAGTGATAGACCTACATGTACATGTACATATATGTAGATGATGGGCTGCAAAGTTAGGTAGGTTATCTAGTGCCAATAACAGGGGGCAAATGAGCTGAAAATAGAGGTTATACAATTACATCATCGGCTGAGATGCCTTGGCAAAGTTGCGGCACAGTGATGCACTAGCGATGCGCTAACGACCCACTGTACTAACGACCCACTGCACTAACAACCCACTGCACTAACGACCCACTGCGCTAACGACCCACTGCACTACGGTCTCGCTCTGTATACCATGGTATACCGGTACATAGCGCCCGTAAGAGGTTCCGCTGTATACTTGGCGCCCATAAGCGGTTCCGGAATTCCGCTATCTCAGTATCTCTAAGTTGACTTCTTTCGCATAACCTCCATAGCCTGCGTGTCCCCGGAAACAAGCAGAGCGCTTTTCGAGCCTGGCGAGTGTGTGTGTGTGTGTGTGTGTGTGTGTGTGTGTGTGTGTGTGTGTGTGTGTGTGTGGTGGTCTACTATGAGCTGAAATGGATGATCGTTTTCATCCCTACTACCTGTATGTGCTAACAACTTTATGTTGTAACCGGACCTGTAACCAGGTGTATCGACCACGTTCATGCAGGAGATTTCAGATTTCTATCTACTAACCGGTTTTGTTTACTAAGCGGACTGGTTATCATGAAGCCGGGAGGGGCTGTATAAAGCATACTATTGTCTATTGTTGGGCACCCAATATACCACACCACCACCTTGCGCTCTTGGCCGATCCAAACTCTTATTGTTGGGCACATACAGTGTTTTACTATTAGAGGTAGGCAGTACGGGTAGTCAGGTAGCCGTGCTACCCGTGAGGATCGACCTTGGGTAGATGGGTACCGGCTACAGAATAGTACCCGAAAACTCAAAATCGCAGATGACATACAGTGCACGTGTACAGATTCATGTAATACTCCGCATATCTACCCAATGTGTAAGGGAAGAGGTGCATTGTGGTGTTACCATGGAAACATTACCCGATAGGGTACCCGTGCTACCCATGAAAACTACCCGAACCCGATACCCGAAGAAAATGCTACCCGACTCAGCACTAATTACTAAACATTCTATGTGTCTTGTGATCCCTGACTGTGCAATGCAGCGTAGTGCTCAGGACGACGATGCCAAGGCAGCATTTGTGGGGCCAATCCTGCTCGTCTTCCTGTTCGTTGGTCTCTTTGGCACAAGTAAGTTGTGCTGCTGATGCTGGTGCTAGCCTGCTGGTGCTGGTGTTACTGGTGCACATGGCGGTGGTATTGCTGCTACTTTGTTGTTGCTGCTGCTGCTGCTGCTGCTGCTGCTGCTACTGTTAGTGCTTGTTGTGCGTATGGTGCTGGTGTTGCTGCGACGTGTATCCGATGAAAAAGCACACTGCAAGCACTTGAAAAACAATCTTTAGGAAGGACTGTTTGGTACGGTACAAAGAGCACCCCCCCCCCCCCCCCCCCCCGACCAGAACTCCTCCAGCCAGGAACACATCGTACATCACGGTATGCCGTGCCATGACACATACAGTACAAGTGTGCACTACTACATGTACATGTACCTTCAAGTTTGTTTTTCACTTCACACGGTACATATGCTAGTATAATTATACCACACCGAAGATGAAGTCAGAACCACTAATCGGCCAAAGGGCTTGTCCACCTGCTGACCCTACACGCCTGTGGTATCAACACAAAACAAGTCATTTGCAACCTTACCTGACTCGCTCAGATAAAATATGGCCCAGCAGTACCGTGTCGCTTCATCGAACATAACGTGGGCTGACAAAACTGTAATCACGGACGCTTTCTGTTCCGCTGTACTGATCGGCTTGTAGTGTTTGAGGCAGTCCGACTCATTCAGCCCAAGACATCTCCACGTACTGTTCAACACAGCTCCCCAATCCGAGCACAGTGCACTGGAACTGTAGAGCCACTGAAGCTCACCTGCACTGCACACTGCATGTAGTTGAAACTACACGGCTACCTGGCTGAAAGAGTCTGAACATGAGCAGAGAGTGTAGCGAGAAGTTTACCAAGGCATTAGGAAGGAACGTGCAGAACACCTCACGCCACGGCTTTGGAGGCGATAATGTATTGCTAATGCTTGTTGGGTGTGTTAGTCACACTTAGTATGGCACCTGGCCAGCTCAGTGCTAACATTCACTGCCTAAGTTGCAACCTGGTCGCATATCCCCTCCCAGCCTGCTTTCCCAACCCGCGACTCACTACTGTTCTAGCATAATATCTCCACAGAGCATGCATCATGACGGCCCTGGCTACTGTAAGTTATACACTCCATTAGCGTGGGGGTTTGCCATGCACTGCCTGCCGGGTGTAAGCTCTCACTCCACTCAGGGTCTAGTCGTAACACCACTGGGATGTGTGCTGAACTTGAACTGTGACTGCTCATACTGATCAGTGTGCACCAGGGAGTAGTAAAATACATATATGTATTTTACTACTCCCTGGCGTGCACCATACATGCTCAGAGAAGCTGGGCCAAGTTCTCCATGCCAGTCACGGCTGCCGTGTAGGTAACGGCGCACCCGCTATAAGTATTGCCAGGAGTAAACTAGAGCTCATTTTTCACTCTTGTTGCTACATGTATGTGGGGCGGGCCGAGTGTAGCATAGGATGTGTTGGTGAAAGTGTGGCAGTAGATTTGCGCGAACGGTTCATCCATGCACCTGGGTGTCCTAAAGTGTGGAGTGAATTTATTAGCCTCGCAGACTGCAAGTAGTAAAGTTGACGTGTAAAAACTCTTTGGATGAAAAAAGAAAGTACCTCAAAGTAGGTGCTAACTTAGACAGAACCATAATCCAGTTGCACCACCAGAGATTAGTGGTCACATGATTGTATCATTGTGTCATGTAAAGTTGCGCTATAAACAAACTCCAAGTGCAAAGCTGGTGGCCTGGACCAGTTCCGATGACGTCACTCTATGTGTACATGTGTGCATGTTCACCAGCAGGGAGTCGTCAAATATTTGACGACTCCCTGTTCAGCAATGTTTGTACCACTTCCAGGGCACCAGGGGGCGCCAAGTATGCACTGTGGGTCGGATTCACCTAGCACTGCTGTATCACAGTATAGCTGTTGCTCACGCAGCTCAGCTGGCAGACATGTTGCCATGCGTCCTGTATGATAACTGTACTGCAATGAGATCGAGTTGACTTCATTATTTTTATGTTGCCATGCAGTGATTTGGCATACGTACCGTGCATTCTATGTTGGAAAGCCGTACGATGATGTGCCGGGAGGAGATGACGGTGATCAGTTCGACTATGATTTCGGCGATGGACCAGGACAGCCCCACTGAGCACCATGGGTGAGTTCGTGCCCACCGGCTGATCCTGCGCAGTGCTGCCACGCCCCGTTGCCGTGGAGATGTTCGGAAACACAGCTGCATGCCACGAGCTGATGTCACAGTCTGCCTCCGATTCGGCACAATCAGGTCCACGCGGCAGTTGGTTGGAACTGTTATTCCAGTCGCCAATACGTCACTGGTGTATGGGTGTCTAACTGCATGGGGCGTACCAGGGAGTCGTAAAATACCGGTATTTTACGACTCCCTGGGGCGTACCCACTATCGGCCAGCACTCTCATGCCACAGTGACCATGGATTCGACAGTGCTCCGCGCTCTGAGTCCAGTCAGGTTATGGTGGCACGGACTTGTGCCGCTCAGCCTGGATACAGCACTCGGTCTGACTGCTGCTGCATGCTACATGACACGTTTGCCGTGTTAAGCTATAAAGTGGAGACTGTCCGGGCTGAGTCCACATGATACTTGTTGCAAATGTTCATCTATCCCGTCGTGCGGACAAACCAGCGAACTGGAGGATAGCTTATAAATTTTATGATTATTTTAAGAGCTTTTCGTGGAGATTAGAAACAAAATTAATGATGGCAATGAACATAGCGAATTGTGCCCCAAAACAAAGAAACCGCGAGTCCTCCCGTTCATTCCCTCGAACTACCGAATGTGATTATTGTCTAAAAATCATGGTGTTGCTGTCTGTACTGCCTCGGCATGGCTGCCTGCACTGGTGAGCTGTGTGCTGTGATTTCCACAGCAAGCAAAGCACTAACATGATTATCCTCATTTCCAAGAAAGCATTGAGACAAGCAAGGATTGGGCAAGGACTGACGGAGTTATTGTGTGCAGTGATGCATAATGTAAATCATTGTAGTGACTACGACTGGTGAATACCGTTGCCTACTGTAGCATGCACTCTTCAGAGCATGCCATTCTTTCTGTCCTGCTCTCTGGTTTGCCAAACCTGAGTATCTAGTGGTGTTCTGGTGGGTAGGCCATATCCAGTCAGATCAGCAATGACAGCAGTCGCTAGAGTGGCATGAGGGCGACCCAGTGGTTCACTGGCAAAGGGAAACGATGGAGCCCAATGGTGATCATCTCACGATGATCACCCCCCCCCCCCCTCTCTCTCTCTCTCTCTCTCTCTCTCTCTCCCCAGCCATACACAGCAACACACCATA